ATCCCAAAGAATGAGAGCCAAGGTTGACTTCAGGCCTCCACACATCTGCACACACGTACACACATATCACACATGCATCCCACACATTTTATAATCTCATATGTTAATTTCATTGGGCTAAGGGGTGCCTAGCTGGCTGGTAAGACACTACTTTTGGGTATGTCTATGTCTCTGAGGATTTTCCAGAAGGGAGACTATGAAAAGGAGCCTCCGCAGCAGCAGGTAGGGCTCAGACCTCTGCCAGGGCCTGCTCACAGAGCAACAGAGAAGAGGAAAAGGGGCTCATTTTCAGGCCAAGCTGACACCCTCAGACATCAGAGCTACCAGCTCAGACCTTCAACACAAACTGAGCTGTGCAGAGTGGAGCCCCAAGGTTCAGACTAGACCTCATGTCCCTCGCCCCAGCTCTCCAAAGACTGGGGCCCTCACCAACTTCATGGGAGGTCCAGTTTGTTAATAGATGCTGGGATTTCTCAGGCTCCAAAATCATGTGAACCAAGTTCTCATAATAAATCTCCATATATATCCAAATATATATAATGCACAACTATCAATTCCATATATATACATAGATGAACACACATACACATAACACACCTACACAAACACACATATGCACACTCACAGATACCAGTGACATTCCTGAACACATGTACACCTACCCATGTACATATACATACATATATACTATTTCTGTATTTCTGGAAAATCCTGACACATACCATTTATATTAAGCATCCAGAATAAGCAGATTATGAAGTATATTAGCGGCAGCTGGGAGTTGGTGGGAAGGAAAAATGGGAAGTGATTGTCTAATGGGTTCAGGGTTTCTATCTAGATGGTGAAATAATTATGGAATGAGGTCATGGTGACAGTTGTATAACTGTGAACATACCCAAAGTCACACTGAGCTTCAGATTGTCACTGAATTGATGGTTTGCCAGCTGTATTTTATTGAATATACACATGATATAAGTTCTTGATATTATGAGTTCAAGGCCCATGTGAGCTACATAATGAGATCCTGTCTCAAAAGAAGAAAACATCTCTTGAGCTAAGGGAGTATCTCAGTCCCAATACTGATTATGGAGGCATGATCTTGGAGTCCCAGCACTAGGCAAGAAAACCAGAAACCCAATGTCCTCCTTGGCTACATAGGGAGCTTGAGGCTAGCCCGGGATACATGACACCCTGCCTCAAAAACTAAAACAACAACAACCCTAAACAAAAAGCCCTACAGAAAATGCTGCCTTAGCAAGGGTGTGGAAAGTCCACCAACTGTAAAATGGTGTGGTTGCTCTGAGAAATGGTTCACAAGTTCCTCAAAACACAAAAGGAGAACCTCCATCCAGCCCACAGGCCCGCTTCTGGGACTGTATGAAAAGAATTGGAGGCACAATCTCAAAAGGTGGGGTGTGGTGGGGTGTGCAAACCCATTTGCAGGGCAGTGTGAGTCTCAAGAGTCGAGAGGAAGAAGCCACCCAACTGTCGGTAAGCAAGTGTGGCAGACCCACAAAATGGGCTACTATTCATCCTTAAAAGAGGAGACAATTCAGGGATGAGCCTTGAGAACATTATAGTCAGTAAAAGAAGCAGCTGTAAAAGGCAAATGCCACAAAATGACTGCTCAGACTCACGAAGACAGAAGCAGAGTGGTGGTTAGCAGGTGGTTAATGGGAGCGAAGAATCGTTTAATGGGCAGAGTTTCACTTTTGCAGGATTAAAAAGTTCTGATTTGCAGAGATTCGAACTTACCCAGCACCACTGTTGTCTTTTTCAGTAAAATGAACTAAGCAGACTGGGTGTGGTAGCACAGCCCTGTGATGTCAGCACTCAGAGGTCAGCCTGGGCTGCATATGGGGACCCCTGGCTCAAAAAACCTGAGAGTTTTAAGTCAAATAAACCCTTTCCTATCCAAGTTACTTTTGGTTATGGTGTTTTATCACAATAATAGAAACCGCAACTAAGACATTCTAGAACCACATAAACCAAGTGTGGTGGCACACACCTGTAATCTCAGCACTTGAGAGGAAGAGGCAGACACATCAGAGGTTCCAGGTCATAGCGATACCAGTCTGGGCTACATAAGACCCTGTCCAAAAAAAGAAAAGTAAGCAAGCAAGTAAATAGAATCCGCTTTACACCAGGTGTAAAGAGTGACATCTGTAATCACAGCACTTGGGAGGTGAGGCAGGAGGATCCCACAGTTGGGTTATATAGTAAAATCTGGTCTCAACAAACCGCACTAAAACCAAAACAAAATGAAGGGCCTAATTCGTCACACTGCTAAGTGCACACATTATCAGGATTGCCTACACATCACATCCCTTGTGAATCCCATAAGTCCCCGGGCAGGCTGATAAATCAGCATTGGCATACCAGAGGATTCTGGGAGTGGCAGCTCTCAGATTGATGGGTAGCGGCCTCCAGACCTATGGTGAGCTTTATCCAGCTCCCTCTCCATCACCCACACCTTAACTACCACACAGTGAAGGTAGACTGTACCTCCCAGGTGTCCTGGACCACCCTCCTAATCTCTGCTTTCTTCTGCTCTTTAACCAGTCTACCATGAGAAACCTCAATTGCCAACTTGAGGAGATCTAGAATTCTCTGGGACCCAGGCTCTCAGCATGCCCAGTGGGGGTTAACTTTAGTGAACCGATGCAAGGAGGAAGACCCACCACTGTGGGCAGCAGAATTCCTTGGGCTTGGATCCCAGACCATATAGAAGGGGGAAACGAAGCTGAACACAGCATCCCACTACTTCCTGCGCTCTGACCAGCTGCACCGAACTCCTGCCACAGTAACTCCCACCATGCTGCGTTTGCCTCTTGAACCATGAGCCAGCTCCTTCCTTACGCTGCTTCCTTTTTAAGTTGTCAGGGCATTTTACCACAGCAACAGACCAGAGACTAAGGCACTGTCTTCATCCGAAGTCCTGACCCCAGAACTGCTCCCAATTTACCACAGCAACAGACCAGAGACTAAGGCACTGTCTTCATCTGCAGTCCTGACCCCAGAACTGCCCCCAACAAAGTCTTTCCAGGGAAAACAGCTCTAGATTTGATTCTTCTAGTACAGATTCACATTACAATTAAGCAGAACCAAATTCCATATCTCTAGCCACAGTTCCAATGCACAATAGCCACAGTAGCTAGGAACCACCACTTTGTATCTGGTGAATGCATCTGGGTTGGTTGATTTTAACTGTCAACTCGAGAAGATTTTTGTGTGGAATTATCCAGATAAGGTTGGCCTGTGGGCGTGTTTGTGGGGATTGTTGTGATTGTCAATTAATGTAGGATAGTACCATTTCCTAGGCAGGGCCTCCTGAGCAGTATAAGGGAGAGGAGAAAGCTAGCTGAAATCAATCAAGAAAGGGTTGCATAGGGCAGCTGCACAACAAAGCAGACCTGACCTTTGCATAGCAGAAGGGCCCTTATTCACTAGCCTGGGCAACTCCATAGGCAGGGGCTGGGTCCTGTACACTGCACAGCCCCAGCCACCTTCCCAGGGCCAGGCACTCAGGCGACATTTGCCAGACACTGAACACCTTCACCTAGGATCCCAGTTCCTACAGTATGTAAGGATGAATAACATGCCTCCAATATCCAGGCCCCAGTCTCTGGAACCTGTGGATGTTACATTTTATGGAAAAGGGGACTTGGCATCTTCATTTACTAAAGGATCTAAGAGAGACAGATAGAGGTAGAGAAGACAGAAACAGAGAGGCTCATGCACTCCAAGTTCAGACTCACTGTGTATCTGAGGATGACCAAGAACCTCTGGTCCTCCTGTCTCCACTTCCCTTGCACTGGGATTACAGGTGTGTGCCACTATGCCCCGTTTATTTAGTGCTAGGTAAAGAATGGAACCTGGGGTTTCCTGCATGCTGGACAAGCACTCTCCCCCACCTGAGCTACATTCCCAGACCTCACACAGTAAAGGATACCTGGAAGTGTAAATTACCCTAGACTTCTGAGCAGGCTTGAGATTTGCCACAAATAACTTTATTAGTGAGTAGTACAAGGTGTGTGTGTGTACATGTATGCACGCGAGCACATGCAAGCACACACGTACTACCCTGCCTACTTTATGTTATTTTTAGGATGGGACCCAGAGTTCTGTGCATGTTAGGCAGGAACTCCACCAACTGAGTTCCATGCATCCAGCATGTTTATGATAATCTGCTACAGTGACCACAGGGAGCAAAGGCAGCATATTGCATTCTAGGGACCATTGGATTAGAATCAGAAGATATGATGGGAGGGGGAGACAAGAGCATGCAGAGGGCCCTCAGTTCTATCCCCAGCACCAGATAAAAATAAAGGGAAGGCACCAGGGACTGGGCACCAAGTATGATAGGTGAAAGAAGAGATGTGTACAATGGGCAAGTGGGTGTGGCTGAGCTGGGGATTTTCTAGAGGATTGGGTGCTTAGGCCACTGGCCTAAATGCTTCCAAGTCACTTCTCCACTTTGGTCCTGCTGCCTTCTGGTTGATAAAAGCACCAAGCAGGTCTGTGACCTGATGGAAGATAAATCTGATTGGCTGGAGTGCTAAGCACTTCCTCATCCACCCAGCTACCCACCGACTCCCCTCCTACACTGCCATACAGCCACACTGCTCTTCTCTGACCATCCAACAAGGCTGCAGGACCCATGAGCACGCTTCTTTTCCTCCAGAGTCTCTATGGCTGCCTGTTCTCATCATTCATTCTCAGTTTAAAAGTCACCTGCTGGAAGAAACACCCCTGGCTGTGCTCAGTCGTGAGAGCATCTCTTGGAGCCCTCTCTTGCCTCACCATGCTAGTTTCTTCATAACCCTGTTAATATTATTGCCTCATAAGTAAGCAATCTCCCAGCCCAGCTGTAAGCTCCAAGGGGGCAGGGTCTGTGTAATTGTACACAGTAGTTGCTCTCTATATTTTGAATGAATGAATTGGTGAATGAATGAATTTGCATCTTGGGACTACTGGCCCAAGGCCTGGTCTCAACATACCTGATCTTGGCCTTCCTAAAGGCCAGCTCCTCTTCATTGCCAAAGTCCAGGGACACATCTTCAGTGTCGTCCACGAGGGCCTGGGGAACACCAGGAACAGATGGCAGACCCCACCGATGCACGCCCATCCTCCACTCCCGAATGCCCTTTCTTCCTGGACAGGTCTCTGCCCTTCTCCTAGCATTATTCCTTTGCCCTCTAGGCTTTCCCCGCCCTCTTTACACTGGGGCCCAGTTCAGCCTTAGGCTCCAACGCCAGTCCATCTATCTTCCTCCCACAGGCTCTTTGCCTTCATCCCCACGGAGCGGCATCCCGCAGCCCTACCTGCTTCATTCTCCTGGGTACCACTTGACCCTACAGCTCAGACTCCAGCTCCACCCTTCACTGCCCAAGGTTTAGGATGCCCAGCTAGCATCACTGAGAGATGCTAGGATCTGAGGCTGTGGAGCTTTGCTCTGGTTGTCTGTAGGGGGAGGGGCTCTGCGCAGTGCGCAGGCTCGAGCTGGGGCGGGACCACACAGGATCTCCTGGGAAGCTGTAAGGAAGGATGGAAGGACGCCCGCCGAGAGCTGTGGAAGGGAGAGGACAGCGCTGCACACAGGACAGTGAAGGATGGTGACAGGAGTGTGTGTGTGTGTGTGTGTGTGTGTGTGTGTGTGTGTGTGTGTGTGTGTGTGTGTGTGTGTATTGTGGAGATTCCAGACGGGCTGAATGAATGAATGTACATTAGTATCCAGAAGCCATTCTGGTTGAAGGAAAAGTTTTCAGGCTCTATGAAAAGCAGATCTTTTCTGGGCCAGGCATAGGAGTACAAGCCTGTGATCCTGTGACACCTGGAAATCTAAGGCAGAAACTTGCCTTGGTACATAGAAAAAACAAACAAACAAACCAGGTGTGATCAGGATCATGTTGCTTGGCTTGGTGTTGTCATGGAAATGGGCACACTGAGGAAAGTAGCTACTGACATATGAAGGCCTTATTGGCCTTCTCTGGGCCCAGGACATAGTCACTCACCTCCCCTGTGGCCTGCCCCTCCCATTTCCCAATTCCTACCCTACCACCTCACAATTTTCCTCAGCCCCAGAGCTGAAAGCCAGGAAGCCAAGGCTGCTGGTCTTCCTTTGCTGGTTCTGGAAGCATTTTGACAGTTTGAATGGGATGGGCAGGGATGGATTCTGGCACTTGGGAGTCAAAGAATACTGAGTATTTCAGCTGGGATGGAAAGGTATTCTGAAAATCAGGAGCCAAGGAATACCACAGGTTACAGTAAGCGTAGCATCTTACAGCCCTGCTTCAGGGAAAGGCTTCCCCAGTGCATCAACTCTGCTGCTGCAGGAGAGGTTTTGCCCGGAGAAGTTGTTACAGTTTGGCTCGGAAGAAAAAAGGTCTCACCTAAACCTCATTCAAGAGATCTATTGGGAGGGAAGAATCCAGGAGAGTGGCTGCCCTCTGCCATGGTAACAGAAGACAGCTGGACAGTTACAAGTTGAACAGACACAGGGTTTTATATAGGGATTCTTAGGAGGTGGAGTTTTTCCAGGGTGGGGATTGGTCAGATTTCAATCCCTGAACTCAGATTGGCTAGATCTCATGCTTGGGGATTGATCAGTTTTCTGCACAGGTTTAGGGTCAGATTTGGCTCTGGTTTCTGGGCCAAAGTGTGTTTGTTTCACTGGTCCTTTTTAGCCCATTGGCTCTAATTTTAGGGCCAGGGTGCATTTCTTTCACTGATTCTGATTCCAGGGACAAGTGTGTTTCTTTGGCACTGGTTTCAGGGCCAGGGTGCATTTCTTTGGTTCTGGTTTCAGGGCCAAAGTGTGTTTCTTTGACTCTGCTCAGGGTGTGTTTCTTTGGCTGGCCCTTTTCCTTACAGGTTCTCTCTCTCTCTCCCTGGCCACAAGCGGGTGTTAGCCTGACTCTTGGTGAACCCACAGGGAGCACTGGGCCACACGCTCCATGGCCGGGGTGTGGTGAGGAGCTGCCTCACCTTTGATCCTCTGGCTGTGCCAGAGGCTGCCAATTGCACACTTCATTCTTTAGGCCACAGAGCTGCTGCCTGGGGGGGAATGTGGAGAGGATTCCTCCTAGGACAGAAGACCATCCATCCTCAGGAGCTGAGCCTTTAGAAGTGTTTTCCAAAGCATGCCTAACGTGGTAATGTTGGTCTGTAATAGCAGTACTTGGGACAACTAGGGCAGGAGGATCACAAGTTTTAGGCTAGCCTGAAATATAGAACAAGTTCAAAGCCATCCTGGGCAAATTAGCAAGACCCTATCTCAAAATAGAAGTTGTGTGTGTGTGTGTGTGTGTGTGTGTGTATGAGCACATATGAGTTTTTGATAGAGTGCTGTTTGCTTTGCATACAAAAAGCCCTTGGTTCAGTCCCCAGTACCATAACCATGTATATAATATATATACACCCATATATATATATTTATATACATATTTCTAAGCCCAGCCTCAGTTCTAGTAGCTTCTAAAACCTCTACTATTCAACTGCCACCATAGTCCACTGGAATCAGTGCAGCAGATTGCCAAAGCTCCCAGGGGTCAGACCCAGAGCCTTCTGTCGGGCTCCTCACCCGGCAGTGTCCGTGGAAGGGCTGGGGGTCTGCCAAAATGGAGTCTGGCTCCTCTACCTGGGCAGCAGAGAATTCAGTTCTCTTATGACTTTCATGGGAAACCAAGATGAGAATTGCCAACCTCAAGGCATGACCACTGAGGCTGGGCTTTCTGGAAAGTGCTTTTGGCTCTCTCCCCCACAGCTCCCCCCCCCACCCCACAGCTGGCTCCAGGCACAGATGTGACTGAGAAGTCACAGCCACCAGGAGTGGATTGGGGGAAGTGTCCACAGTGTCGGCCAGGTGGAGGTGAGAGGCCGTTGTAGTACATTTAGGGACTTTTCCTCTGACCCTGAACACCAGCAGCTGCTGATGTCTGTTGAGTTGGGGACAGTTGGGAAACCCCCCTTGGAAGCCCCGTCAGGGCTAACCGACACTGTCAGGGGGATCCTCAGGAATGGCTGCTGCCCCTGCCACAGGTCACCGGTGAACACGAGGTGACCCGCCCTGGCCCGTCCTCACAGGGCAAAGGATTGGAGGGCAAAGAGCAAGAGCTGGGCAGGGAATTTATGATAGGCCTTGAAGTAGGCTCCAACCTCATTGTCAGTGGGGTCTGAGGGCAGAAGCCAGGGCTCTGGCAACATCAGTAAGCTAGGCTCAGCTACCTGTCCCATACAGCGATAGGAGAGACGAGAGAGAGTGAAAACAAGAGACCAGTCAGCACTAGGAAGAAACAGATGACAGGGCCTAGTGACCTCAGGTTCATCTTCAGGGAACAGATTAGTAGAGGGAGGACTGGGACGGGGCAAGAGGTGTGGCTGAGGTATGGTCCTGCCCTCGCAGTTCAGGTCGGGCTGTGTCAGCTGGTCTGGAAAATTGCTAACCTCTTATCACTGGTATGAACAGGAGAATGGCCTAGTTCTTCCCAGGTGAGCTGCTCCAGGGTGCACTTTCACTATCAGGGATGACTGACCCCATCTTCCAGGGAAGTTGGCTGTTCTGGAATCCTGGGTGACGGCAGGTTCCGAATACTGCCCTGTCTCTCTTCAGTCTTGAGGGGGAAATAAGGATAGACAGACAAGTCTTAGTAATTCCCGTGTCTGTACAGATTCTGGCAGGATTCCAAAGCAAACACAAGGAGGGAGACACAAAATGAAGGAAGAGATGGCAGGCTTTCCCCTGCTTTTAGCTAGGGAGGAGTCAGCTGTTACTAGGTAGGTTTGAGAATTCTGTCCCAGGCCTCTAGAGTCTCCAGGGAGGGGTTTGGGAACCTACTTTCCATAAGTGAAAGTACTAGGAGTATCTGGAATATAGGGCATACTTAGAGTGGAGACTTGTGGGAAATATTCACCTTTGCTTCCAAGTCCATTGCTCCTCTTAGCCTACTTGGGGCAGGGAGCAGAACCTCCAGGTTCAGTCTTATCCCTGGTCCTGTAACAGCCTTGGAGCCCGAACAGTCCCTGGGTCTCCAGGCTGTGCAGCCACTGGGCTCTGGAGACCCTTGGAGCTCAACATCTGGTTGTCAGCAGGCCTGGATGAGTGGCCTGTTCAGGAAACACCGTCTCCCTGGCCTCAGTGTCCGTATCTATAAAGTGGGACCACACTGCCCCCATCCAGGATGACAAGGACTAGACACAGTGCATAAAGAGTGCCCTTCTCAGAGTAAAGGCTAAGGAAACTATGCCCTGGGGACAGTGATTTAATAGTCATCCACATAGAATCTGGGATCTGAGGAACCCCCGTGGGCCCGCGACACAAGGCATGAGTCTTATGTCTAACTTACCCTTCTATGAAATGTCCGTCTTTACAGCAGAGCCAGTGAATTTAAGGAATCGAAATTAGATTTTTTTTTGAGATGAGGTAGATGGGTTCCAGGCTGATGTCAAACTCACTCTGTAGCTAGAAGAGCCTTCCACTGGATCCTTCTGGTTCACACCCAGGGTGCTGGGATCACAGTTGTGTGTTACCGTGTCTGACTTTATGTGGTTCTGAGACTCTGGTTAATGCCAGGCAAGTGCTCTATCAATTGAATTGACAGACACGTCTAGCCTTCCTTTCTCTCTCTCTCTCTCTCTCTCTCTCTCTCTCTCTCTCTCTCTCTCTCTCTCTCTCTCTCTCTCTCTCTCTCTCTCTCTCTCTGTGTGTGTGTGTGTGTGTGTGCACAACAAACCTTCATCCCTGTCAGAGCTTTATTCAACATCCCATGAGGTATCACCCTGATTGTCTCATAAATGCTTTTATTTCTCACAGTGTGTTTAAGTCAAATTCACATGCATGCCATACCTGGCGTGTGGTTGGCACCAGGGAAATGCCTTAAATCAGGGGGTTTCTTCCCCCATGCACCCTTCCCACATGTGCCACACCCACCTTGTAAGGGAAGGACCTGGCCTTTGTCCTGTGTGTCCTCTCACCTCCCCCTGTGTTCTTAGAGTGGTGCCCTTGAGACGAGAGACCTGCTTGTAATAGAGACTCCTACTTGGCGTCCTGAGGACGTCACCTCAGCCCACTCCTGGGACAACTGGTGAGGTGACAGACAGGTTGACATAGAGTGTCCCTGTAACTTTGGCAGCTGAGAGGGAGCCAAAGGGGCAGGGAACAGCAAGGCTGGGCCTCATCTGCTGTCTGTTTGCTGCCGGCTCAGTTGTGGTTGGGGCAGGATGAGGAGGGATGTCCCAGCAAGCAAGGGACATTTGCTTCTCCCACAGTGTAGGAGTCCCTCCATACATCACAGCCGGCGGGAAACAGTCCAAGTGATGACAACAAAACTCAGACTTAATTAGCCAGTGCTGGGCCAAACTTCCAGAATCTGACCCCAGGCAGCTGATTTTAGCTGTATTTAAGCACAGCACAATTCTGGAAAAAATGTTTCCTGATGACAATTAACTCAGTCTCATGGGAACAACAAGCTTATGGCACATTTATATTGAAACCCTTTACA